AAAAAGAATAGGTACTTTTGCCTCAAAACAATATTCTCCCTAAACTAATATTGTTATTGAGAACTGAAATCTATCATAAACATTAACAGTGTGGAAATCAAAAATTAGCTCGTAATCAAAAAATTAACAACCTGCATTGAGAATAGAAATAAATTCTCTGAGATATTTGCTCAAATTATTAATTTCATCTGCTCAAAGAAGTTAGTTTAAATACACAATGCGTATTTAAGTTTTGCAAATTAAATTTGAAGTATTTTATGATTCGAATTTTTCAAAGTCATTTAAATATCTTATTTAAATCAATAAGCTATTGATACTCAAATATATTTATAACAATAAATGACAGGTTTATTTTCTTCTCATAATCAATTTCTAGATATAAGATTTATGGATGACATTAATTGAACAAAAATTGTATTTCCCGAACTAAAGTTAAAGATTACGAAATAAGAAAATGATTTTTTTGCCTTTTTATCGATTCAAAGAGTTCCAATATCTTTGTTTTAAATTTTACAATTATTCATTTTTATTCATTTGCTTCCTTTTTGCACCATTTCATCTCAGATAATAGCAATAATATTTATTTAATTAATACAATTATTATATAATGTTAAAGATAATCACTTCAATGTAAATTAATTTCAAGTAGCATTTAATACAATTATTTTTTCTGAAGATTTAACCTAATTATAGAGTATTTGCTAAACTTGACAATTTTTATCAGTAATGTTTAAGATTAATTTTTGGTAAGCATCAGGTTAAACCTTAAATTCAACATTATATTGTATTTGATTGATTTAATTATTGCAATCAAATGAATTGTAATATTTATTATTAAAAGCTCCATTTTAGAGATTTATTTTAACTATTTCACTCTGTTAACATATATAAGATATTTTAAATGTAAGTACATTATTAAATTTTCCTATGAGTAAAGAGAAAATCCCAGTTGAATTAAATATTTATTTATGTTCTGATAAAGTTGAAATTTCAACTTAAAGTTATGGCATGATTGATTAATTGGGAATTTATTTATAAATGATTTATATTTTTTTTAATTGCAATTGTCTATAATACTGAGTTAATTGGTATGTCATCCAATAAGCTTTTATTTAAATTTCATTGAAAATTCCCCCTAAAAAATTAAATCAAATTCTATACACTAAGGAAATTTGTAAGATATAGATGATTGATCTTCATAACTTTCAAATAAATAATACAAATTATCTTATTAATTATAGATTAATTATTGAAGTATAAGAAAAAACCATGATTATGGTTATATTTCGATCAAATTACTTTAATAGGGATATAAAAGGGTTCTTTATTCAATTAGCTTGAAAGCATTTTCAGGACCTAAAATTATTTAATATCCTAATTAATTTAAATATTAATTATTTTCTATTAAATTTTTTATTTCGATGCTAACATTATATGGGGTTATTTTAATTATCTAAAACAAATTTATTATACTCTACTTGAATTGAAAGATTGAACGGACCAGAAAATGAAATGCTTGTTGGAATTATAATACCAAAATCAGCATTAGGGTTTTGATGTTCAAATGTTATTTTAGACTTGAAATCTTTAGGATTAAATTAGCTTATAACTTATATTCGTTAATCATCTATTGCAAACCAGACAATTTCCACCCCACAAACCCTTGATTAAGGACAAGTAATGGTTATTGTAAAATCTAAAAAATATTCTCCATATTACTGAATGTATTAATACTTGAGATTTCTAGCAAAAATCCTGATTAATAGTAATAGAGGTCAAGTAATTTCCAAAAAAATATGATTTGAGGAGCATTGAAAAACTCTTCAGAAAAAGCAACTATATAAGAATGTGATTAGTTGTTCTGACATGAAAATTATGAGTCCAAACCATAATTCGTTTATTTAAACCAACCTTAATCAGAGCTTATGTATCCAACAACCATAGGAAAAAGCAGAATTAAATTTAACATAGTTTTTAAATCAAATAGTATATTTTATTTTTATTAATATTTTCAATAAAAACTGATATCTGAGTAAAAACCATAAATTTTCTTAATGAGAGCACATCTGATACGAACTGATAGTTGCGGATTCCTTAAAGATTAAGTTCACTTTAAGAGAGATCTCAAAACTTGCTACTTTTATTAGATTATTTTTATTAATAATTGATACAGATGCTATCCCTAAACCTAGAGACACCTTACTTAGAAAACAGGTTGTGATGATAAATCAATCTGATAGTTGTCAATATGAACAGAATATAATCAAAATATATACCCACATACATCAGCTAGAATTGATGTAACGTATATTAATTCAAAATTTTTCACAATATACTTTATTTATATATTTAATGGAAGCAATTCAAAAGTAAATTATTTACAATCTCTTTTATTTTTGAGAAACAATTTTTTCCAATAAAATTTTCTATCACAATTTTTTAGAATCTTCTTGGTTACAACATTTGAAAAATAAATATCAGATCCGAAGTGATTTAAATCACCAGGATTAGGTTAAATTATGATTTAGATCAGATATATTTATATAGAATAATATGAAACTTCTTTATTTGAGGAAAGAAATCTGAAAATACCTAGTCTAAAAGTGTTTAATGTTATAACAACAATAAGCATTATATATTGATAATTAGAATTCTTACAAGAAATTATAAGTATCTATTGTCAATATTTCATATTTTGCTCACATAATCTTAAGCGCTTTGGAAATATCGAAGGATATCAAAGATTTGGATTGCCTTACTTTCCTAACTTGTTGTAGTATATATTGAGATTGGCTTTAGTATCATAGTAGATATTCCATTTGCATTAGATTGTTTAAGATTATTTTTAACTGTTAATCTGATAATTTATTAATTTTTTCTCATTAATAATATTCACAATCTTGAAATATATATTTTGTAATTCTTAATATATAAAATTAATCTTTAATTGTTTTTAATGAATATTAAATTATTAATTCATTCTAGTTATTTCACGATAAATTATCCTGTCTTTTCTCCTAATATGTATTATCCAATATTGATGTATTTGTTAAAGCTAAATATTAGCCTTCTAATACTTATTAAATTCATCATCAATATCGGCCCATATCCCTATTTTCAATCCTTCATCATTATATTAACCTCCACCACTGATATCTAAATTATATACATTTCAATGAATTCCTCTACATTGCTTTCCCTATATTTTATTTCCCATTAACCAAATTTTAATCCATTTTTATATGATCCAACATAAATTATCTAATAATCACTTTTATTATGTTTATTGTTATTACTTTAAGAATATTTGACTTAATTCCATATTAATCCCATTTTTTAATCCAAATTCATTAAACATTTAATACCCACTAGTAATCAAATTTTAGTACATCACTTAAAATTAGTTATCTGCATATTATCTATGCTATATATCCCAAATCCCGCATTTATTTCCAAATTTATAAGATCCTTAATAAATTACTTCGCATCCTCTCTCTATTATATTCAATATTACCCTCCAAAATTTTCATGCAATTCAATCCACAAATTAATTTTTTATCCAGCATTATCATAATTTCCTCCCCCACTAATTAAGTTATATTTTATACATTTCAATATCATAAAATTTTGTAATCCACCTTTTCTATTTCTTACCATTTGAATATGCTCCTATATATGTAATTTGAGAATTTCTAAGATTCTATTTTTTAATACTCATTAAAAGATTCACTAATTTCAATCCAAATTCCAGTTTTCCTCCCTTCTTCATTATATAATCCACCTCCTCTGAAATTAAATAGAAATATACATATTATGATGTTCTTTTTCATAGTATCGATTATGTTTAGTAACCCAAGATCCTTATTTGACTCCATTTTTATAATTACCAAAAAATCTAACTTAACATTCACTATATATGATATATCTAAATACTCATAAAAATTATTATGTAATAAATCCACTCACCATTTTT